TTTATAGATGTATACATTCCAAACCCACAGACGAATGCTCCTTATCAGGTTCCCATGGCAACTGGAATGGTTCAACAAGCACAGCCGACTGTGATGATGTTACCTCCTGGAGTTCAGATTGTTGGTCCTTCACAAGGTGTGAATTGTGTTCAGCTACACTCATCTATGCTGATATCTAGACTATTGTATACACTCATCTATGCTCAGCTACACTGTCATCTATAGTATCTACACCCTATACCTATGTCTACTATGTTATCTTCTGTCATCTACACTGTCATCTACACTGTCATCTATTCTGTTGTCTACCCTATCCACTGTCGTCTACACTGTCATCTATTCTGTTGTCTACCGTATCCACTGTTATCTACACTGTCATCTACTCTGTTGTCTACCCTATCCACTGTCATCTACACTGTCATCTATTCTGTTGTCTACCCTATCCACTGTTATCTACACTGTCATCTATTCTGTTGTCTACCCTATCCACTGTCATCTACACTATCATCTATTCTGTTGTCTACCCTTTCCACTGTCATCTATTCTGTCGTCTATTCTGTTGTCTACCTTATCTACTGTCATCTACACTGTCATCTATTCTGTTGTCTACCCTATCCACTGTCATCTACACTGTCATCTATTCTGTTGTCTACCATATCCACTGTCATCTACACTATCATCTATTCTGTTGTCTACACTGTCATCTACTCTGTTGTCTACCCTATCCACTGTCATCTACACTGTCATCTATTCTGTTGTCTACCCTATCCACTGTTATCTGCACTGTCATCTATTCTGTTGTCTACCCTATCCACTGTCATCTACACTGTCATCTATTCTGTTGTCTACCCTTTCCACTGTCATCTATTCTGTCGTCTATTCTGTTGTCTACCTTATCTACTGTCATCTACACTGTCATCTACACTGTCATCTATTCTGTTGTCTACCCTATCCACTGTCATCTACACTGTCATCTATTCTGTTGTCTACCATATCCACTGTCATCTACACTATCATCTATTCTGTTGTCTACACTATCATCTATTCTGTTGTCTACTCTATCCACTGTTATCTACACTGTCATCTATTCTGTTGTCTACCCTATCCACTGTCATCTACACTGTCATCTATTCTGTTGTCTACCCTTTCCACTGTCATCTATTCTGTCGTCTATTCTGTTGTCTACCTTATCCACTATCATCTACACTGTCATCTATTCTGTTGTCTACCCTTTCCACTGTCATCTATTCTGTCGTCTATTCTGTTGTCTACCTTATCTACTGTCATCTACACTGTCATCTATTCTGTTGTCTACCCTATCCACTGTCATCTACACTGTCATCTATTCTGTTGTCTACCATATCCACTGTCATCTACACTATCATCTATTCTGTTGTCTACACTATCATCTATTCTGTTGTCTACTCTATCCACTGTTATCTACACTGTCATCCATTCTGTTGTCTACCCTATCCACTGTCATCTACACTGTCATCTATTCTGTTGTCTACCCTTTCCACTGTCATCTATTCTGTCGTCTATTCTGTTGTCTACCTTATCCACTATCATCTACACTGTCATCTATTCTATCGTTTACCTTATCCACTGCTATCTACACTATCATCTACACTGTCATCTATTCTGTTGTCTACCCTATCCACTGTCATCTACACTGTCATCTATTCTGTTGTCTACCCTATCCACTGTCATCTACTCTGTTATCTATTCTGTTGTCTACCCTATCCACTGTCATCTACTCTGTCGTCTATTCTGTTGTCTACCTTATCCACTGTCATCTACACTGTCATCTACACTGTCATCTATTCTGTTGTCTACCCTATCTACTGTCATCTACACTGTCATCTATTCTGTTATCTACCCTATCCACTGTCATCTACACTGTCATCTATTCTGTTGTCTACCCTATCCACTGTCATCTACACTGTCATCTATTCTGTTGTCTACCCTATCTACTGTCATCTATTCTGTTGTCTACCCTATCCACTGTCATCTACACTGTCATCTATTCTGTTGTCTACCATATCCACTGTCATCTACACTGTCATCTATTCTGTTGTCTACCCTATCCACTGTCATCTACACTGTCATCTATTCTGTTGTCTACCCTATCCACTGTCATCTACAATGTCATCTATTCTGTTGTCTGCCCTATCCAGTTATCTACACTCTCATCTATTCTGTTGTCTACCCTATCCAGTTATCTACACTCTCATCTATTCTGTTGTCTACCCTATCCACTGTCATCTACAATGTCATCTATTATGTTGTCTATCCTATCCAGTTATCTACACTGTCATATATTCTATTGTCTACCCTATCCACTGTCATCTACACTGTCATCTATTCTGTTGTCTACCCTATCCACTGTCATCTACATTGTCATCTATTCTGTTGTCTACCCTATCCACTGTCATCTACAATGTCATCTATTCTGTTGTCTACCCTATCCAGTTATCTACACTGTCATATATTCTGTTGTCTACCCTATCCACTGTCATCTACACTATCGTCTATTCTGTTGTCTACCCTATCCACTGTCATCTACACTGTCATCTATTCTGTTGTCTACCCTATCCAATGTAATCTACACTCATCTATTCTGCTGTCTACCCTATCCACTGTAATCTACACTGTCATCTATTCTGTTGTCTAACCTATCCAATGTAATCTACACTGTCATCTATTCTGTTGTCTACCCTATCCACTGTTATCTACACTGTCATCTATTCTGTTGTCTATCCTATCCAGTTATCTATTCTGTTGTCTATCCTATCCAGTGTCATCTACACTTTCATCTATTCTGTTGTCTACCCTATCCACTGTTATCTACACTGTCATCTATTCTGTTGTCTATCCTATCCAGTTATCTATTCTGTTGTCTACCCTATCCAGTGTCATCTACACTTTCATCTATTCTGTTGTCTACCCTAACCACTGTCAACTACACTGTCATCTATTCTGTTGTCTACCCTATCCACTGTTTTCTACACTGTCATCTAATCTGTTTATTTTTATCTACCTGTTAATCTACCTACTCTGTTGTCTTCTCATCTACTGTCATCTACTCTATTGTCTACTCTATCGAGTGTTATCGGCTGTTATCTACTGTCATCTACATTTTTATCTAGTCTACTCTGTTTATTCTTATCTACTGTATATAATGTCATCTACACTGTCATCTACTCTGTCTTCTATATTCTTATCTACTCTGTTATCTACTCTATTCTTAGTGTTATCTACTGTCATCTACTCTGTTATCTACTCTATTCTTAGTGTTATCTACTGTCATCTACTCTGTTATCTACTCTATTCTTAGTGTTATCTACTGTCATCTACTCTGTTATCTACTCTATTCTTAGTGTTATCTACTGTCATCTACTCTGTTGTCTACTCTATTCTTAGTGTTATCTACTGTCATCTACTCTGTTGTCTGTTGAGAATGTTTTGCATAAATCACATGACAACGTTCATTAGTTGTTTATGTAAAATCTTGAAGCTATTTTCCCCATGACACCATGAAATAGAAGCGTCTTTTATGTGCTACAGTGACATATTTTGAGAATTGTATGAACATTTTTCAAAAATCAATATGTTTAAATGATTCCACAGAGCAACATTTTTTTGAAATTTTCAAAACCCATATTTTTGAAATAATTGAGACAACAAAAAGTACCCCATCATTGACAATATATAATTTTTCAGTCTATGTCACCAGCCTACAATTTGATATATGGCATAATATCTCTGCCATAGGAACCTACTGTAAAATCACTATAATACTGCCAAAATGACCACTATCCACTGAAATACAATCATCATTTTCTCAAAAATTAAGCTGGTGACCCCCAACTTTTAAAATATCCTTATATTGCCTGGAAGTACAGTTAATAGGAAAATGAATAAATTCTGGGTATTTGAATTCATAAGTACTAGGCTTCTACCTTAAGATAACATCCTTCCCAACACCTGTAGGTCCACAACCAAGTTATGGGCAACCACAGTATGGACAGCCACAGTATGGACAATCACAGCATGGACAACCACAGTATGAACAACCACAGTATTATCAACCACAGCAGCAGTTCCAATTTGTACCACAGCCTACTGCTTCTGCACCACCAGATTATAGTAGCACTGTACAAGTGGGAGGTGTAGGAAATACTGGAATTGATACTAAGTCATCTTCCCTTGCCGATCCTCAAATGTAAATGTTTTCTCAATACACTCCTTGCGTGACTTGCAAATGAATAAATCTAGAACTTGAATATATTGTAAACAACTTAATTTAATTGACAACATTTTGTCACTGCTACAAAATTTCATGATTTTTACAACATTTGTGAGAATTTGTCTTTCACCAAATTATATCGGTTAACTTTGTTATATTTCTGTTATTTGTTTTTTTTTTCATACTATTGACAATTTTAATAAAGCCACAATTTTAATAACAATTTTAATAACAATTTTAAAATGTGCATAGATTTTTTAAAAACAATTGGCCTGTAGCGTTTTTTATTTTTTTCTGGGCGTGAACTGTTTATCTGCAATCAAAATAAGCTCTTAGCTTACTTGTGTCTTCAAGACATTCTAGGTTCTGTATTTGTTTGTAACCTTTTCACCACCAGACTTTCTCACCCAAATTTTTCTGTTCTTTCTTAATATTCTTCAATATTTCTGGAAATGAATGCTTATTTTGGAGCTAACATACAAAATGTGAGTCAATTTTTCAGTTTTAACTAAAAAAATTGTCTATTTTTGTTTCAATCTTCTGAAGGAAAGTTTAGACTATAAATAGAATTATTTTGTGAATTTGTGATGGAAAAAGGGAATTGGCGGTGAAATGGTTATGTTTGGTTACTCGCAATTAGCTCTGTCATTTACAAGTGCACAGTGTTGCCAGTTTATGTCTGTGTGTAATTTTGTAATCTTCAAGTTACACTTAAATTTATAAATCATCATGTTGTGTTCAGTCATACTGTAACGATTAGGCCACTTTGTTTTTACATGAGACAAATTGAACATATTTGTGATCTTTATAGGGTGATCTTTAATGGCTGTGCTGCACATGTTTTATGTAAACAAAAAATGTATCTTACATGCATTGTATATGTTGCTATGTTGAACATGGCGCAGCACAATGCCCACCACCCTTTAAAATGGAAAGTAAGTAACTCATGTAATTTCATCATTACAAGTACCTTCAAATCCATGTGTATTTATTTATTGACTTTGGAAAGTAGAGCAGTAAGGTCTAAAACAATAAAAAAGTGATTAACAGTAAAAGATAAAAAGTTATAAAATGACATTTACAAATTACTATAATCACTGTCCATTAACATATGAAAATACATTACAATACATCTATAATTATTCCGGTACTATGGGTGCTGTGGTCCTATTTTAATGCAATTACTATAATCACTGTCTATTAACATATGAAAATACATTACAATACATCTATAATTATTCCGGTACTATGGGTGCTGTGGTCCTATTTTAATGCAATTACTATAATCACTGTCTATTAACATATGAAAATACATTACAATACATCTATAATTATTCCAGTACTATGGGTGCTGTGGTCCTATTTTAATGCAATGTTTAAAATGATTGTGGCTATGCAAAGCCCACAAGAGGTGTTGCTGTCTTATAATCAATTTGCTCTTTATAAATTTGGTCAATGTAATATTCATTGCAATGTTTTTATGTCATTCATCAGTATAACTTTGTTCTCTTCTGTTGAATTTGTGAAATCATTTATTTGCTTTCCGACTTCTTCATATAATTTCTTTCTTTCTTTCTTTGATTGTTAAATAGGCTTAGTTGTTATAAAATGGTATTCGCCTTCTACTTCATTCTTTGAGCAAAGATTAAAGATTCTTTTTTATAGGTAATTTTGGTTTTGTATACCCACCTGTTATGATTTTGAGGTCATGGTTACTTAAACGGAACCGAAAGGTTGACTCTTGTCATTGTTAAATAATTTACCATTTCAAACATTTTCTTGAATAGTTTATTTTTTTTTTTTTTTTTTGGTAATATCTGAATTTAATTCCTTGTTCAAATAAGCGATGAACATTTTTTCAACATTTTTTTGGTTAATTGTTGTAATCTTAATTAATCTTGTCTAGTTGGTAAGTTATCAGCAATACCATTTACTATTTAGGTGTCTATTTAATAACGCTGCTTCCTTCACAAGTTCGTTTGGTGTGTTCATTACTCTGTTATAGTATTTAATCATTTGTATTTTGCTAAAAAATATCTATCGGAAATTGAGCCAATTCTCCATATATTGCTAATGTAATAGGAGTTTTTTTCCTCACGGATGAAAAGTGTATATAAACATTTTCTATATCAGATTTGTAATAGCTCTCGTCTTCCCAAATATCACTACCGTATACTAGTATTGGTCTAATTAATTTATTGAAGAGGTACAACATTGTTTTTAAGTTATTAGATTAGTTATATCACCCGCTTAAGGTTTTAAAGTTTTTTGCCCCTTTTTAAAAAAAAAAAAATTATGGCTTCCTCATTATTTTAGTTTTAGTGTTAAAAGATAGCTTTCATCGCTGTGTGTACACAGAAAGATGAAATAATCCTAGTTTTGTTTGAGACGGGATTACAATGTCGTCTGCATATAAGAGACAACTGACTTGACTATTATTTAGTGTTGCAAGTGTGTGGATCGAAAATATTAGTCAAATCATTCATAAATAAATTGAGGAGAGTCAAACTCAAGTTATAACCTTGTGTTTAAAATATAAATGAATCTGTTAATCTGCTATTGATCTTGACTTTATATTTTACTCCACTGTACATACTTTTTATTATGTTATACATATTACCTGTAATCCCATATTTTAATAATTTCAGAAACATGCATTTGTGCCAGACGCTGTCATAGATCTTTCTCAGATCCATAAAGCATGTATATTTAATATATGTATAAATAATGAGTCTATTACAGTGTTTGAACCTTTAGTTTACAAGACTGAAATCAGCCCAGCTGAATTGTACATTAGTCAAAAAAGTGTGAAATTACATGATAAGTGAACAACATAGTATGGGATTCAAACCCATGTATATAATAAAGACAGATTATATATAATTTCCTATTGCTTGTACAGTGCTGTTTAATTTGTATATAAATTGAATAATTTTTTCATTCTCTGTATTTTATATATTTTGTAAATAAATTAATCACATTGTTCAATTTTCTTAAATGTTAAATAGTTTATTTCCACACTTCCATAGTTTATTCAGACTCGCACATATTGCTTACATCCAGACATGTAATAAGGTAAAAAATAGTTGTATATAAATACAAATATACTGTTTATTCAACAAAGACTAGTTTGTTTTGCATTGCCTGCTTGACAGGAGTTCGATTCACAATTTTCAACATATCAAATAGTTTTCTGCAATTTGACACTATTTAACAGAAAATAATATTGATATAACTAGACAAAAAAAGGTAATACTTTTGCTACAGTCAATTTAAGCAGGATTTTATGGCCCTTATGATATCTGACTGTCAGACCCTTTAATTTGTAGAAACTCCACAAATGTTATCAATACATGGAGAGCAGTAATTCAGAAACATATTTTAATTACATTAATGCAGTGAGTGAATCTACGAACTAACTCATTGGTGCTGGCATTTTATTTGCTGATTAATGTCATCATTGTCCTTACTTGCTAAATTAAATATGAATGCTTGTTGACAAAACATTATTTCCATCTATTCAAATACAATTACAAAACCTTATATAATAATTTTGACACGTATTTCACATGTCTTAACACAAACAAATCTCGTATTGTTAAAAGTTTTTCTGAAAACTCGAGTTATAATTTCTTTGTAGAATTGTAAAACATTTGCTGATTATGAAAGAGTTGTGTTATTTCACAACTGTATCAAATTTAATCAACACACGTATAAACGTTTGTAGTAATACTTTAGTAATATTAGATGTAAACAATGCAGTGGCGGCGGCAGAGAGGCGGTTGCCCTCTCGCAAAACGGTCGCCCTCTCGCAAAAACTGTTAGGGGGCCGTCGCCCCTCCAACCGGATTTCAAAATTTTTAAGGGGGAGAATACCCCTGGAACCCCTAGTAAAATTGGTGAGCAGATCTCGCTCCTCCATGTGAAATATCGTGCCACCGCCTCTGCAATGTGTTTATATCATATTATGTTTAGTTATGTTTTATATAGGAACACAAGATATTCATGACCAGTATTGTTTCTACTTAATCCCCAAAGTCATATTTATGTCAAATAGCTAAATGACAACATGTAAATATCTACAATGTTCGACGAAGGCATACATTTTTTTCCGTACTTTAAAAATAAAATTTCACTTTATTTTTTCACTGTTGTCACATGACTCTATATGTTGGTAGAAATGTCACACCCATTTAGCCAATGCAGCGTATAAATGGTTTACACATTGTGAACTGGTAATGATTTTACTGTTTCAATTTTACAATTTATCGTCATTCAGAATACCGTTATGTATGAATTTTCCGATTAAAATGCTTCTATACAATAGTAAATAGATGTATCTGTAGACAGTTATACCGTATTGTCATGAATTTGTTTTTGCGTATCTGTTAACCGACTTAATTAACTGATTATTAGCGAATTGCTGTGTTATGTCTATCATTGTTTAGGTCTATTTGATGTTTTGGACGGAACTTGGCTCAGTGATTTGGAACTAATTACGAGATAATCGTCGCCATTCTGACAGTTTATATTCATAGTTATTAATGTAGTGAACGATTAATCAAAAGATATGACGTATTCAGTACTTAGTGTGATTGGCTTTATGATTGAAGGTTACGCCCTAGAGTCTTTTACTGTTTTGTAATAGGTTAGAGTTTTGAAAATGAATAAAGAGAGTTTGAGTTGGTCTTGGCGAATACTCCACGACAGACGCAGTCTGAGTCCGAGAGAGTCCAGGGGCGAGCCTTGAGGCAGTCCAGTCTTGGGCGAGTCTTGGTTCAGCCTTGTGAGAGTCTTGGGGATTTTTCCCCAGGGCGCTGTGTCTTATAGAGTGCTCCAAAAGATCGACTAAGACGAGAGTTGAAACGTATTTCGTTGTGTGTGCCTTATTTGACTGTAAAGTTAAAGTGACTTTCCCGATCCCGTACCTCAAGGGGACGAGATATAGAGACGAGACGAGTTCCCCCCCCCCTGACACGTGTGGAGAACCCCAGAGGAGAAGAATTTCCCCCTGATACGTGGTGGAGAATTCGGGCAGGTGTTTAACACACATTGACATCCTGTGAAGAGAAGTGAAATTACGAAGAGGTGTCTTTCTTGTGAACCGAACTAACTGGCTCGATGGCAGAGAAGAAACCGCGCTTGACGACTAACGACTTTACCAGTATGACACCGATGTAAAACGCTGAAGAGATGAAGACTTCTGAACCTCTTATGAAGGACGAGTACCGGATAGGACTGTATAATTAAGAATTGAGCGACATTAAAGACAAGAAGATGACAAAGAACGACCCGGAATAACGCGACAAAAGAAGTAGACGCTTATAGACTTTGACTTTAGCTATTTGCTTAGAGAACTGCTCGCTGGACACTGTAACTGACACTGTGTAACTCAATAAGGACGTTGAACTCTTTTCCAGAACCCTAACCCTATTGCTCAGTAATGTAATGTATTGCTTGCTTTTTCTATCGTTTTTACCGTTTCTTTTAGTGATGTCGAATTGTATGTTATGTAAGCGCCCAGATTTTTGTTTTGAACTGATATTTAGTGACGTGCGAGGTCCTTTATAACGATTTAAGCGCGCCTCAGTGGACAAGTATTTGCAACACAGTGTTTTGGGTTTTTGTGAAGATTTATGTAGTTTTAATGAGTTTATGAGTACGGATTATGATGGGGAAAGTAATGCCCCAATGAGTTTTTCAGAGTTTTGAGATTTGTCGAGTACAGAGATATCAACGTTTTAAGAGTTGTTTTTGTTTATGTGTTGTTTTCCGGAATACTTCTGACGCTTTTTGAGTTTAGTAGAGCACCTTTGTAACGTTTTTTTATGTCTTTTTGAGGTGAGAGTTTGGTGCGCTTATATACGTATTGTTTGATATCGCAAGCTTTTGTTCATGATTGACAGGATTATATGTAACTTAGTAGTTTCTATCATTTTAGTCTTTTCCCCGTCTTTTTGCCAGAGGAGTAATGTGTTATGATAGCGGCTTTGTCTTTGCATTCTGTTTCCACGCCGTATGACTTTTGTTTAGATTAACGACTTGTGAAGTTTATAAGCGTAGATGACAGGAGTTTGATTGATAGCTTTTTTTTATTCATTGTTTATTAGTTACCGCTTTGCAATGCTTTAACCGAGAGACGCATCCCTGGTAATCACGTGATCGTGCTGTCGATGGCCGCGATTGGCTGATCGCTTGGTTACACCGCCACGCCTTAGTTTTTTTTGACCTTTTGATATAGAGTTTGTAACCTTAGTAACGGAGAAAGTGAAGCGACGGGTTACCTCAGCGAACCCGTTTTGAGAAAAGTGAGTCGATTGGTAGCCTTTCCCTTTTTTTTGATTATAACCGTTGATATTTGTGACTTTATAACCATTGTATTTAGACTTTATAATCATTGTACTTAATTAGTGTGTTTTACTCTTTTTGATTTATACCTTTTATTAGTATTGTATTTAACCCGTATGACGATGAGTAGATGACGGTATCTTTGATTTGTGAACGTGCAATGCCGAGAGGCATATCTCAGTTTGGGTGAAGGGATGTGTCATGAATTTGTTTTTGCGTATCTGTTAACCGACTTAATTAACTGATTATTAGCGAATTGCTGTGTTATGTCTGTCATTGTTTAGGTCTATTTGAAGTTTTGGACGGAACTTGGCTCAGTGATTTGGAACTAATTACGAGATAATCGTCGCCATTCTGACAGTTTATATTCATAGTTATTAATGTAGTGAACGATTAATCAAAAGATATGACGTATTCAGTACTTAGTGTGATTGGCTTTATGATTGAAGGTTACGCCCTAGAGTCTTTTACTGTTTTGTAATAGGTTAGAGTTTTGAAAATGAATAAAGAGAGTTTGAGTTGGTCTTGGCGAATACTCCATGACAGACGCAGTCTGAGTCCGAGAGAGTCCAGGGGCGAGCCTTGAGGCAGTCCAGTCTTGGGCGAGTCTTGGTTCAGCCTTGTGAGAGTCTTGGGGATTTTTCCCCAGGGCGCTGTGTCTTATAGAGTGCTCCAAAAGATCGACTAAGACGAGAGTTGAAACGTATTTCGTTGTGTGTGCCTTATTTGACTGTAAAGTTAAAGTGACTTTCCCGATCCCGTACCTCAAGGGGACGAGATATAGAGACGAGACGAGTCCCCCCCCCCCTGACACGTGTGGAGAACCCCAGAGGAGAAGAATTTCCCCCTGATAGTATCATGAGCTTTTCAAATAACAGCGTTAAAAATGTACATGGACTAAATAATAGATGGTATGCAATATGATATACGTTTTGTAATATTCGTATTCGTGCATGTTTCTATGAATGGTGACGTAAACATAGCTTTAGCATACACGTTTCATTGCCCTGCCTTGTTTATTTGAGTGCAAGGAATTGTGTTAACTACTGGCAATGCATTCATTATGTACCTGTCAAGAACGCCAAATCAATGTATATCAAATATCTAGACCAGGGGTAAGTTAATTGGGATAATCTGTCAATCGATTTGGTCGTAACAAGTTATTATTCCTGATTTTTAATATTAACCTCTTACTTCGGACTTCACACATTGAGATCTGGTAATGCAGAGCTTACAATACAAGTCCGTATTTCTATAACTATGAAAAACACTTCACCCAGAAAATAACCCCTAATTTATTATTTCATGGACCGTGGTTCAAAACATAATCTACCATTTTCTCCGTGAAAACATGGAAGCGGATGAGTACCACTGTATTCCGAGAGTTTATAGTACGGCATTCAACCATATCTTGTAATTAATGATCAAATAGAAATCTCTCGTGAGAATATACCGGGTTATCACAATACTTGGATTATTAATTTACACTATGAGAATAATAAATGAAACTAATTAAACTTTTTTGAAACATTAAACCAGCCTTTGTTCTGTTCACCCGTCCAGCCTTGTCCTTTCTCTCTTCAAAGCCCCTAACCTAACCCTGCAACCTTCGGTTCCCAATATTGATCGTTCCTCAAACCACACAGATGGGAGCAACTTGAGTAATACAATGTGGTACACCTATATAGACTGATTAAACTGCTGTTAAGTCTTTGATTTTCGTCTGACTTGTCATTATGCCTAATTAGTTTGAAATATGAAAAAACGTAACCTCGCATTCAATGTTAAAACATAGAACCATTTTTTTTTAAATGTCAAAAAACGTAAGTCATTCAACAAGCCCAGCACAGAATTAAATTTGTTTCTGTGTGGTTTCTTTGTCTTTATTACAAACCTGCTGTACATAAGCATATTCAGCGATTATGAATAAAGTTTTTCACTGCACATATTGTATGGGTAACCATGCGTTTCCTAACTTCCTGCTCCCTAAATATTAAACATTATACATTGTCGCTCACTAAAGAACGGAAATTATATTATGTGTGTTTTATTTGAATGGTACAACAAGTATTATTCTTTTCGATTATTATGTACCCAAGTTGTTTGGTACCAATTACCCTATTAGGAGTGTCGTTGTCCTATAATATGCTATAGCTCTATTGACGTTCATCGTGTCGACATTGTCAGGTAAGTACATACTACTTCATATGATATTGCTGTACAGATACACTGTAAGTTTATATGCAAATATCTGTAGCATGTCATTAGGACTGTTCTCAATGAGAATAGAAACTTGATGATAAATTAAAACACGCGTAGTACGACAATCACCGCCCTTTAATGTCAGATCATCAAATTGTTGTCTTATTACAACCTTATTATTCTGTGACAAAACGTAATTGTATTACTAATTTAAGATATATTGATAATTGATGAACAGTTACACTTTTCAGAATGCAATCAAACCAATCACAGCCGAACCAACACCAAGAACAACCCCAAATAGGACATCATGGAACAAGGCCTGGTTTTGCACATAACACTGTTAAAGCACTGAGCATAAGCCAGATTGTCTCTGGAGTGGCAGCAATAATATTTGCAGTTGTTGCTATTATAGTATCTACTTTTATGGCACATATAGGAACAGGAATATGGTGTGGAATCTTAGTAAGTATGTATGTTAAATTGTTTGATGCACATTCTGTCAACTGCGACGTTGCTGTGGAATCTTTATCTTTAGTTAATACGCACTATTCAAGGTTTTAACAGGAATGTGGTTGCATGCGCCGAGTTTGCCAACCCTATGGATATATGTACTATCTATTCCAGCCTTATTGTTTTCCATTGGCGACTAAAACCTAAAGTTTGTTAAAGTAATGTTAATCAAGTTAAATAATTAAAGGGTTGACGAATGAAACATCAAATCGAACATCAAGCTTCACCACCGTTTGCCCAACCTAGGTTATACTTGGGATATACTATTACTATCATTTTAACAATAATGTTCTAGTGGGCATAACGACAACTGGCATTGTAATAACAGAGAAGACCGCATTTGTGTCGCACTAACGTTAGTTGAGTGTGAATATAAGGTGCATAGCATTCACAATAGTGACCCTATTTTGAAATATCATTAACTGACATTTCACACTAAACGCGGCAATGTGTAAACTAGATCGTTGGTCATTGGTCATGTGATAAAATGTTATCACCTGATAGCACTTATTTATAAAGCTTGATGATACTCGTGTCATCATGGGCTGTATTATGCACTCGCCTTCGCCTCGTAGACTTTGCAATCTACTCACAGTATGATGTTTAGAATTGTAAACCTTCTCGAACCCATACATATTATATATAATGAATCTTAGTCGAACATAATCACGTGCGGATCATAACCATGTTCCTCTATTGAATGGATCTCAAAGGTGATGATAAGCCACCTTATTGGGTATTCATTATTATGTACAATTGGAATTGACGACTACTAACCATGAGTCAATCACATTGTGCGATATGTGCGGATAATTAGACAAAACTATTGATCACATGAGTTGATAACCTCATGATGGGGGGGGGGGGCTGTGATGAAACTAATATCACACCTGATTATCTTCTATTTGTGTTATTCTTGATCAAAAAACATTTACAAATGATATTTTAATTTAATTGAAATCAAATAATGTTGTCAAACAAGGAAGGGTTTCTTAAGAGTTATCCAATCATTATGTGAATACTTATATTTACTTGCTTGTAGTGATAATACTATGAATTTCTAATTCTACAGTTTATAATTGCTGGGATAATTGGTGTTATGTCATCATTTAAGAAAACCACTGCACTGGTAGGTACTTTTAAAATATCGATACAATATGTTTTATATGTATGTGATGTCAGAGATTCTGTGTGTGCATGTCCCTGTATTCACTGCAAGTGGAAGTTCATTGCTCGCTATTTAAACCGTAAGCGTCTGTTTACAATGACAAGACGCTTTGTCACTAGATAGCATGGATTTACATATATATGGTTTTGGTAAAAGTCAGGTAATTTGTAATAAGACGCGATATCGAGGGCGTTTATACATCCCCATATAGACTCACACATCAACTGAGTATTTCAGATTGTAAAAAACGATAACATTGAACAGCAATATATATGGGTATGTATCAATACGTGTGATGTTAAAAGAACATGATTTTAAAAATATATAAATATAAGCAGAAATATATATTAAATATATTAAATTTGTAGCTTAAAACATTCTCTGTTATATCAGATTAGTACAGTTATTGAAAACTGTAGGAATATAGTATAGTATCGTAGTTTAGGATAGAGAACCACGTCCTTCTCCAAGTTTCTGGCTGTACAATCGCACAGGGCCTGCGCCCCCAGAGATGCCATGCGTCAGGGATTCAAGGAAAAAACAAGTATTCGAAAACAAAGTAATACATTTGTCCAATAAACCTGCAAAATCAGAAAAGATATACACGTACCGAAATCGTTTGTAATATAAAAAGTCCTGTGACGATATTTTTGTTGGAAATTTCAGGACTGGGTGAGGGGAAAGGTTCATATAATCACTGTAACTTAATATAAAATAAACAAAAACCAACGTTCCACGTTTAAGAGCAATGGCACCGGATATTAACACAGAAATTTTGATTTGGATAGAATGTGGTCACTGATCTAAATATTGGCAATCTATGATTACAATGTTCTACATTGCATGTACTTGGATAACTGATATTATTAGAGGTTACATACAATATATGTTTTAAAAATTGACTCTGTTGTTGTTCACTACTATTTATAAACTATACAAAGACAGTGAATACCATTATGGTGTACAAAACAGAGGTGATTACCACATAGACAAGTTTCTTCTGTTATCTCATTTTCACACACATTGTGCGCGTAATAGAACATTGTGTTCTTGACACCTCATTCCATTGAAGAACGCGTGATATATGGAGTGTCGTAACACCACGTGTGTCATTATGGATGTGCATCCCTTTGCAGTAATATTCATGACACTAGATTTGTATAAGTTATTTCTGATAGTTGCGTTTCTCTTTCTGACGATAAAATATGATTTGAATGGAATGCAACAATTCACACTTATTTAACAATCATGAAGAGAAGAAATCCATGTTTGTGAGTAAAAGTAAACGATGGTATATTCATTTGTCTGATTTTAGTTTTTATTTGTTATAAATACAGATCGTTTCAACCATGATTTTGTCAATATTTACGGCAACCCTCAGTGGAACAATTTTATTAGCTTTTAGCTGTATTGGAGTTACGTTTGAATATGTATGTATTTTATATGAATCGTTATTTTGCTCAATCGAATTGAAACTATCATTATTCAGTTTAATTACTTTAATATATTATATTATTAATCTATATATTGTATTAATAAATTTGCATATTATATTGATTTTAATATTATATTTCGTGTACATGAATACAACAATTCATACACCTTATTAAGTATGTATCTTTAGTTACCGTGCAAAACATAACAAAACATGTTATGAGCGATCTTATACGTGTACATTTCAACTAAAACTTGCATTTTACTCACGCATAGAATTAGATCTGTATGTATTTTTCATTACAGGATTCACAGCATGCAGTTGATAGCATCATCATATTCCTCGCTGTTTGGGAAGCAGTTACTGCAGTTATAAACTCAGTCATTTGTTGTCGAGCTGTATGTCATGAACAGAAGACAAAAACTGTAAATGTACATCCCTTGTAAGATATGGGAATATTTTTTTTTATTTTGCGAAGGGTGAATAACAATGCGTACCACCAAAAGGATTTAAATATAACCCAATGAAAATTGTACCATCATGTATTTATTTATGACATATTTGTACAAACGTTCTCGGAACATTTTCTTATGGCACTGGCAATATTTTCTTTAACAAAACATTTTGTGTAAATTACAAGGTGCACAGATAAATCACAGACAAATCGAACACACATTGACCGCAGCGGAAATATCACGACTATGGATATGAATATATACAGTGTTTGTGCTACTTTTTGACAACTATTGTTTGAATATACACTTTTTAAAGAAAAATCACACATACATTCTAACCAGTTGATTAAACACAAATAATAATGAACAGCACTCACTGATGCGTAATCTTTATTTGTCTAGATATTTAAGTCAGTTTATTTATTGTTGGGGTAGCAGTATTACGTCAGCCAATCAGAAGGCTAGATTCAGACTAAGCAGTTACATAAGCAGATTAACTTTATTTGTGTATTGTTAACCAACATAGTGCCAAACTTGGCTTTCTCGCCAAATTAGTTAATTACGACAATTGTTTAAATAAAACAATTTGAACGCATTCGTTAATATTTTACACTTTTATTTTGTCTGTACTGCACGTTTCACGTTATATTCCCAACTTATTGTCTGTATTGTACTTTTCAAGTTCTATTCGTTATGAATGACAAAATAAAGAATCGTATCAAGAATATGTATTTTGTCGGCGTAAGTGCATGTATAAACAGTTTAATTATCATGTCTGTCAGGTAGATATGACATAATGAGAGAATGTGAAAGAAATCTTAATACTCAGACATGCAAACGACGTCGTTTTTGGTGCTGGAGTATAATGGACTATATAGTAGCGTTGAAATTAATTTATAACAAAACATCTCCAGAAACGAAAATAATGAGATTGAATTTCAGTTCTAAATGTTTGTGTTGGGCAATTTTCAGTAATATAGAATTGACCTGAATTGACCTGCTATTTTAAAACACTTATATATACAGCGGTGAGACAGTGTACCACTACCGAGATAATAACCAAAATATCATCTGAAGCAAGGTATTACAAGGTAGGAATGCGATACCAAACATGCACAAACGGATGACCTTTGCTCTTTAACAAAACGCCCCTCTATATATAATGAAATATCCTTAAAACCTGTGTAATATTCAAATAAAAGTCATTCAAATGTTTAACCCTTAAGTAAGATCGCGTATCAACACCAGTGATACATACACTCATATGTTAACCAATCACAGTGAGCAGAAAACCACCTGCATCGATTCAGACATTATGCGAGAGATTTGCCGATCCTTTGACTGAGCGCTTTCGCTAAAGATTACAATACGATTTTGGAATTTGGTTCTGAATAAGAATGAAGATCTTCAAAAGTAACGACGATTTATGTTATTGGTCAAATACATTTATCCTGCAAGTAGGAAGAAATGATGGGAAATTCTACCAACTCAGAACTGTAAATACTATTCTTAGTTATGGACATTCAAATATACCGGTGTTTTTTTGTTTTTTTCTTTTTTTTTGTTTTTTCTATATTTTGTTTTTGCCAGGCGACAGTTCCGGACATTGGATATCACTGTTGTCTCTCCTGACTTTTTTTGTATATGCAAATTGCAAGTGCCAGTGATGACACATAGTGCATTTTGCCACAGAAGTCATATTCATGTTGGGACTACATGACAGGGGTGGTGTGGCCATCTCTCTGTCAGATGGCAATTTGTAATGCGCTATACTGGCGTCAACCAGGCCCGGTCGAACACAAGCATCTGTGTACCTTAACCAAGGTTCCCCAAAAGTCGCATTTGTTAGTGAATGAATCTCGCCCAAAGGAATTGTCCTTCCCATTGAGTCTGTGGCACATTCATCCAGGGGAGGGGTCGACCCTCTGATGTTTAGCCTACGGTAGGATTTGAACTTGGGTCTACCGATCATGAGTCTGATGCGACAACAACTATGCTACCAGTGACCGGTGTTGCGATTGACAAGATTGTATTAATTTTTTGACCGTATTCTACGCATGTACTGTTACAATTTGACACATCTCAAATAACTGTGTTCGGGCCACCAGGTGACCCCTCTTATCAGCGTTCATTTTGGTGATGAAAACTATTATAATTGCAATGCAAAACAATCAAAATATAAACGGAGTTTATTATAATGGGAACAGACATTAAGCCAGCAGCATTTGCTGATGACACGACACTCCTCATGCCGGGTGTTGAGTGTGCTGTAATATTTATATGCAAATGTATTTATGAGGCATATTGAATACTCGGGAATGTTGTTGTCATTCTTGTATCTTTTTTTGAGGAGATCGTGATATCAACTCTCGTTTCTGTTCTGTTATAATCAGAAATCATGTTACAATGTTACGGTCATGTGAACATCGAGCTGTAAATATATTCAGAATATTCTTAAATAACCACTATTTTGTTTGTAACAAGACTGTGCACACTTAATTAAAATTCGCGTGATGAAAAGAACAACTAATGCGAACAAATGTAACCATTTACGAGTAAGCTTATTTCTATAAAACAGATGTTTCCATGCCTTTTCAAAAAAATAGCTTTTTCAGAGAATGGAAATAATTCTGAATGTTTTTATTCTATGAATGTAGTCTACAAAATTATAAACATACGAACAAACTATTGTTATGTTTTGTATGGATTACTGCGTTCATTTATTTGTCTTACACGCGTTATAGTTTCACGGCAATATTTACAGGAGTGTTTCCATTTATGTTCAACGTGTTAACATCATCCGGTAAGTACGTACTCGTTATGGTAAAGACAAGCTACATATGCGAGCCATTAGATCACGTATTGTTTAATGTGACCTTAGTAACAGTTCGAACAAGTAACACAACTTGTGCAAAATAATGATCCCAATAGTTTTGCAATTCTCAGTCAAAATTACTTCTATCCAGAAATAGTAGTTCCGTTATGATAACTGGAACTAATAACACACTTGACAACATAATTTATAAAAATATTGTAATTTTATACTTTAGTAAGTATGAATAGGCATAATGGAATGTACACATAAACTCGACATTTGTCTACTTATTTGTAAAAAATATTGCAATTACTAATTTATGTATTTATGTTCAATAAGTTATGTCAGCTAGAATGGAAGAGGATCATTGTAACCATGAACGAGAATACCTGCAATCACAATATCGTAGAACTTGGCATAGTTTTGAGCACGAAACCGCTAAATTCTTGGGTATATGTCAGATAGTGTCTGGTGGAGTGGCAATACTACTTGCAACTATGCTAGTAGCGTTTTCTACTCGTGTAGAATTAGGCACTGGTATATGGTCTGGAATATTAGTAAGTATTACTCTTATTGATATCATGTTACAATGTAGTTTATGTTTCTGATGTACATCAGACTTAAAACATTACAAAAAACTTCTAATCACTCAAGCAATTATTTAAAAGTTGATTATAATGAAGATTTTGATCAACTCCTGGTCAGATGGGAAATGTACGATGACACATTTGCAACAGTCCCAAATCGAAAAGGTGATATCATATGAATACCGAGGTTATCCCCGTAATGTGTGGTATCGCATGAACACATACATGAAATCAATAATACATTTAAATATCACGATGGTGATATCGCACGTATAACATGTGATACTACACGACACCGAATTGACCCTCACAATACGTTTCCATGTTGAACAGTGCCGATAATAAGAGTAATCGAAAAAGTGATATCACATGCACACAGAGATGATTCCCATATGTGTGATATCGCAGGAACGAG